GCATCAGGCCTGATTCTGCAAACATTTAAACATGTGTTGGACCAATCATGAGAGTGAAGTAACACTTGGTACATTCGGGGGTGAGCACGGAAGTCTTTGTAGCATGAAATACAGGGTCTACAGGAGTGTTCCAGTGCTGGAAGAGTCGTCTTTGGTCAGCATAACCGTACAGAGAAATCCATCCATTTGCAAGATGCACTTAAAAATTAAGAGATTATTTGCTAATATATCTGTAGAAATAGTTTAATGAAGATATTACCTGAAGAATGAATAAATATTAGGATCACAATCCAGTGCCCATGGAACACAATGACATTGGTGTGAACAAATAACTGAAGGAGAGCACATGCTAGAGTGCTTTGTTGGGTTGGGGCCCGGGTGCTTAGAACCCTGCTGGACCCTTCACAGCAACATGGCACAAAAAATGGATCTCCCATGTAAGGAGGACTTCTTACTTTTCTTTTACATAGGTTGCATTTTTGGTGCTCTTAAGAAAAAGCACAGAGATTCTCCATCAAGTATCTACAAGTCCACAGTGACTTGAGCTAGGTTACATGCTTTAGTTAATCAAGAAATTGGTTTAGCTCTTCTGTACTTTCAGATCCCAAAGGCAACCGAAGATCTGACAATGTGTAATGGTGGTGGTGTAGCATTCCAGGATACTCATCTTACTTGCCAAATCCATGTTCTGTCTCACACTTTCTGTCAGACTTGACGCAGCAAAAAACTTGTGCACGCTTGGTGTTTCAGGCACATGTAGGCCTGTCTCCAACACAGGCCTCCTTAAGTTGTGCCACTCAAGTCACCACGTTGTTAGCAAAAGCAGCCGTGTTGCCAAATATCTGCCTGGGTGGCAGCTGGCAAGGTGCATGAGCATGAGCCATTGCTGACAGTCTGTGTCCCCTCCAGCAGCACCAGCTCAGGCAGGTGTCCCCTGCCGTCAGCTGCAATATGCACTCCTGGATGGGGCAGGCAGCCAGGGACCGATGGCAGCTCAAACCATGGGCAGGTTTGTGCATGGGTAGGACAGAGTTACATGTTTCAGGCTGATGGTGCTGGGGAGGCACTCCCAGCCTCAAACCCTGGTGCCTAATGACTTCAGCCCTTCTGTGCACAAAGCACCTGAAAAAGTCAAAAGTCCCTCAAAACATCACGTGGACAACTGGGCTTTAAACAAGAATGATGAAAGTTGGAAAGCTGGAATGATTTTTTAATTATTATTTAGCCAAGAGAAAGTACTTAAGCAGTGACACTATTTAACCACATTTCTAATTGATTTCCTGTAATTATCTAGGCTTTTGACCTTCGAGTTCTTCATTCCCATTGTTTTCAGTTGATAATGTCCAAGAAAATAAAGTAATACTTTCAGGAGTCTGGCAGTAGTAATGAAACAAGCTTAAATAAACTTAACTCTTCAGTTACCATGCTGCACCTTATGAATTTCCTATTGTTCAGGGTGGTTGCCTAAACAACAGTTTGTCGGACATGATACAAACTCAACAGTGTGAGATCATTTGCAGATCCAGTTCAGAATCTGTTAAAATCCTGATGTCAAAATTGGGATGTCAAAATGATTGCAAGCAATGATGAAATTAATTTCTATCTTTCTGTTTACACAGTCTTCCCACTACAATGTAAATGTTTGCTTGACTGAGGTTCCTCAGCAGTTTGTAATCATAACTTTTTTTAAAAAGGGGAATTAGCTATTGTATTCTTTGCTGTAGCATGTTATTGTGGCCAAATTAACAACGTTCGTTTTCCCTTCCATTTTAAAGAGTAGACCATCAAAATCTACATATCCTGTCTCATTTGCTG